CACTTTTTTGATTAAGTCCTCTTTTGGAGGGTATACAGTCAAGGATAAACAACAATCTATTTTTCTATCCTTCCTCTAGAGCAGACATTTGTCAGTAGGACAAATTCTCTAACATTGGGAATTCCTTGTTTCTCCATATTTTTAATCAATTGGTGCAAAGCCTATTTTTAAAGAAATAATATTTCAGTTAACTCTTCTATTTAATATCAAGGGGTAAGTTCTTATATATCAAACACAGCATAATATAAAATTGGATTTTAATTTTTATTTATGTAATATACACATTTTAACAGTGTGCATTAAACGAAGATGAATTCTTCTTTTTCATTTCAAAAATACTTCACATAGTGAAGTGAGTGTTGTTTTATATCTAGGTTCAGCCATTCTATTTTATTACCTTAAGTCCAAACTAAGAGCAACAGAAGAAACTTAAATTTAAGGGCTCTTAAAATATTTCCAAAATATTGAAGTTTTGTTCCCTTTCTAGCCTTTACAAAAATAAAACTCCCATGTATTGACAATCAACAAAAGTCTATTAACAGGTTAGATCAATAGTTTCTCAACCCTATAGCCATAGTATTTTAGCTGCACTGAAATCACTCAAAATGATTATTGCATATTGAGTTAATGTGTCTCTTATACTGCAAAGGGCACTAATTATTTCTAATTCTTACAATATTTTATTTTTTTAAAAAACATTTCTTGGAGCAACATTTCTGTAAAATATATTAAACCATTATCTCACACGTTTGGCTTGAAAGGCAAAAGAACCCCCAAAATAAGGGTTGTTTAGAAATCTCATTTTGCTATTGCAGAATACTGAACATATTTTGAGTTTTTTGCACCATCAAAACATTGGAGTTGTTTTTTCCTGCTGAAGACAGACAACAGTGGAACATTCTGAGTAGGACTGTTTTGTCCTGAGCTCAAAATAAAATCATATGTTTCTGTTTCACACACATCCTTATCACAAGGACATTTTATTTGCTTCTGTTTGTACAAAGACAATTACAATTACATCTAAAAAGAGTTTAGGGCAGGTCCAAAGTTATTTACAGCCTAACATTCTAATCTTCATAATTGTTAACAGCACACAATGAAAACTTCTCTTCTACTTTGCTGTAGATGAACATTTTTGACTGCTTCTCCTTTTATAAGAGAAGGACTGGCAAAGCCAGAGAAAAAAGAGGGCCCAGTTTAGTTGTTAAGGAGTCATGAGCAAACTAAGTACAATCCCCCCCACCTTGCCATTTACCCTTGTCTAACTCTAACCATTGTCCATTAGTTGAAAAGATTTTAGCAATACATCAGTTCATTTGAACCTTCACAGGTAGACCTATGGGGGGGGGGGTTGCCCGACATGTTCTTTTGTAGTTCAGACAACGCTTGGTTCATGTTCTCCGACAGATATATACCTCAGCCTTAGGAAAAGGGATTCCACCTGAGCAGAGCCATTTAGCACCTGCTTTCAGAATTGGAAAGCAGCCTTTGAATGCTTAAATATGCAAGTGTGCCAACCTCGGGGCACATGCAAAGCATCCCTTTCACACAACTGTCAATTGCTGGTCCTCATACATTTGGGATAGAGAATACCCTCATAGCAATAGGTATTTCTAAGGAACTGCTCTGAAATTATCTCAAAGACAAAACACACCATTGAAATAGCATACTACAGGTTGTCCCTCGACAGCCGTTTGCTTAGTGACCATTCAAAGTTACAACGGCACTAAAAAAAAGTGACTGATGACTGTTGTAGCATCCCTATGGTTGAATGATCAAAATTCAGGCATGTGGCAACTGGCAGGTATTTAACAGAATAACACAGTTGGAAGGGATTTCAGAGGTCTTCTAGTCCAAACCCCTGCTCAGAAAAATGACTGTCCCATCTCTTTAAAAGCCTCCAGTGACAGAGCATCCACAACTTCTGAAGGCAAGTTGGTCTATTGGTTTATTGCTGTCAGGAAATTTCTCCTAAATTTAGGACAGCTGCAGCATCCCGGATCATATGATCACCACCAGCAATCTTCCCAGCCAGCTTTTAACAAAGGGGGGGGGGGAGCCAGATTTTCTTGACAACAATGCGACTCACTTAACAACTGCAATGCTTTGCTTAACAACATGGCAAAAAAGTCATAAACTGAAGTGCCACTCACTTAGCTGCCTTGCTTAGCAAACAAAACTGTCGGGCTCAATTATAGTCCTAAGTCAAAAATTACCCCTAAGCCGGTTAAACATTGATTTATGCCATGCCTTTTTCGATTTCTAGGACCACACAGTTCAGAGTAGGTGGGCCGTATTACTCAACCACGTTAAAATTTAAAGGAGGATTAAGGGAGCAGCGGGCAAAGGTGGCTTGAAAGAGAACCATCTAGCATCGCGAGCTATTTGGAGGCCCGTCCACGCTGTTTCGAAAACAAAACCCACCCTCGTTAACGAAACCTCCTATTAATTCGGAGTGAAACCTGCCACGGCTCGAGTTTCTTTGTTCTCGGCGAATTAAAAAACAAGTTTCGACAAGAGAGAATGGGGGGGGGGAGGGATAAATAAGACCCGGAGCAGGGAGTTCTCGGGTGCAAACAAGTGGGGCGGCCATAAAGCGAGGACTCCAACTCCTGGGAAGCTAAGGAGCCGAGAAGGGGTCACGCTGGGAAAGACGCGAGGAAAAACCCTCAGCACTATATAACCATCTTCAGACGCGCCCTGACACGCACCGGTGGAGAGGAGGAGGGCGGGAGGGAGATCTTGTGAAGGTCGCAGAGGTAGCCGGGCGTTCTCTGCTCGCTCCGACTGCAGCCAGCCTTTGCCTTCGCGCACGTGGGAATGAGCGCGAGAAAGACGCGTGTAGCCCGTTTCTCCCAGGACCGGCGAGGTTGCATGCAGCCTTAGGGTAAAAAAAAAAAAGGAAACCCGGCCCCCAGAGTTGCCGCCGGGGAGGGGGAGAAAGAACTAGTCTTTCCCCCCCCCCCCCCCCCTCAGTAAAACGACACAAGAGGCTGCCCCGCCCCCTCACACAGACGCACCGCTTTCCCTGCGCGCGCTTACCCTTCACGGAGGAGTTCGAGCTGTGCCCCATCGTCTTCGCCCGGCTCCACAGGCGCTCCGCTCTCCAAGTAAAGGACACGCGAGGTTGTGCCCAGAGGGCGAGCTACGCCTGCGCGCCAAGGACCCGAACATGGCGACCAGGGAGGGTCCTCTGCTCTTAAAGGGCCAGCTGAGCCCTAACACCCATTGGAAATCCCCCTCCCCTTGAGAGGAAAGGATGCTGACGGGGTTCGTTTCGTGGCGCCGGGTTGCCCTTCTCGTAAAAGGCCGCATTCGGGCCAGATGCTAAGCTATGGTTGGTTCGTTCCCTGATTCAACCACAATAGCACAGCGCCTTAAACTAAATCGTCAAGTTTGACTTACCAGAGTATCCCTAATGGCTGCACTCACATAATTATAATAGATAGGACATATTGTGGCTTTGTGCTAAGTATCAGTAAACTTTGATTAAGCATATCCCACAAATGAAATGAGCCCCTAGGCTGGGTTTAAAACAGCTTTAGTCACACCTCCTTGAATATGCAACAAGGATTCACATACTGCACTAATACCTGGGTTTGGGCAGAATTGAGTCAAAAATCACCTGAACAAGTATTATGAATCAGTAGCCTGTTGTACAAGGGAGACAGGAAGGGTTATGTACATATATCCTCATAGTGGCACACTCTTTGAGATAATTGGGATATAGCACAGATTTGTTATATTTGTTTCATTTTATTCAACTATCATTTAATGACATTTGCTGAATAGTTGAATTTCTCATAATTCTTTAATTAATAATTAAGTATTAATTAAAGCCATAGATAATGACTGGGCTTCTTTAAGGATTTATTTTATCACAGTAATTTGGACTTTGCTGACATAATTTTACAAAATATTTCAGATATTACATTTAATCCTATAAAATGACAATTTGATATAACTAATAATCCATACATTTTAGATTGGAGAAGATAACTACATATAATGCCCCATTTTCCCCTTTTTCCAAGACTAAATCTAACTCTCCATAGGGTTGAATATAGTTTATAGAATATCTCCTTAGGGTGCATATATAGTTTATCTGTATTTTTACTTTAAAATGATAGAATATTGTCTTGCCAACCAGGATATGGCTCTGGGATAGAGGCTGTTTGCTCACCTATGTGACTTAAATGAATGCAGAAGTTTTAGTCCCATCCGATTTTAATATGGCACTTTACTTTGCAAACTTTAAAAAAACCCACAATCTTGACACAGACTCAATTTAGTTGAGCCTCATCCCCCTCCCTTCTCCCTTAGCTCAGGTGACCCATGCACAGTAGCAGAAATAAATTGAAAAGTTTGCAGGGTAGTTAAGAGAGTCATCCAACTATGATCAAGGCAGCATCTCCCATTTCCAAGAGAGAAATATCAGTTGACAGGAAGGGATGCTGAAATTTGCAAGAAATCCAAATCCTTTATTCCCTAAATAGAGAAATGTTAAAAGTCTTTTTTTTTTCTTTCTCTACTTTTTCTTCCATTTCTTCCCTAATTTTCACTGTTCTCTTTACTTTTTTTCTTTACATTTCTAATGTTTTTACTTTGCAAAAAAATAAATAAACACTAAAAAAAAAAAACACTGAGTGCAAACTGTTAAAGCCTCCCCAGATTGCTCCCATACAGCAGCGGGTTCGTATAACCGGAATCCCCTCGATCCTGGCAACAACCGGCGCTTCCGATCTTACGACCGTCAACGTGAGAGATGTCAAACTGGCGGTACCCTCCCCCCGCCCCCCGCCCGAAGAGAACTCCAAAGGATGCTGCCTCACCCGCCCGCCGGCCCAGCTGGAACTACGTGTCCCAGAATGCAATTCGGGCGGCAGGAGGCGGTGGGCGGAGCGTGCCGTCTGCGAGTAGGAGCGGAAACAAAAGATCCGTCGATTGGGAGCGGAGCGGCACCTCGGCTCCGGCCTTAACACGCCCCGCGAGCGCCCGCCCTCCCCCTTCCTGGAGCAGCCGACGCTCTCCTCCTCCTCCTCCTCCTCGCAGCTTCCCCCACACCACGGTCCGCCTGCATTCCCCGCTGCCCATGGCGCTGAAGCGGATACAGAAGGTGAGCGCGCCCGAATGGGCCGGGGCCAGGCAAACCCCCCTCCCCTCTCTCGTCGGTTGGGAACCGGGTGAACTTGAGCTTTCCGGGGCCTTGGGAGCCGGGGGGGGGGGAGAGGAGGAGGGAGGGGGGAGAGAAGGCAGTTAAGCCTGAGAGGACTGGGGGGGGGGGAGAGAACCGCTTTGCGTTTCGGGAAAGAGGGGGGAAAGGACACCGGGACCCGGGCCTACCCGAAAGGACTTGAGGGCGAAGCGGGGGGAGATCTGAAATAATGACTATTAAACCCCCCCTCCCCGCTTTTGTGTGTGTGTGTGTGTGTTTTAATTTTCCTCTTTGGGAGGCAGGTTCTCGCAGAGGATTTGGATCATTTGGCAAATGATAGAAACCTTCCCCTCCCCTGAAGGGGAAAAAAAAATCCTCCGTTCTCCTTCTGGACAGGCACCCTTGTTATTAAACCCTCCAGATTTTAGTAGAGAGGTCAGGTGAGGGGAGGAAATGATGCACACGGGTGTGCAGTTTTCCCCACAGCCGAGAAGAGAAAGGCAGCTTGTCCCTAGAAACCCTTTAGCCGGGGAAGAAGAGATTTGGAATGGCCAAGTGTGATTAGACGCATAAGGAATTTACCTAATAGAGAAATAAATGTTTAATAGAATGTCTGCTGGGGTAATCTTCCTTCCTAGCCAAATGTTGAAGCACCCAAGACCCGTCATGGTTTTTTTTTTTCTTCCCAAGCAATGATGTTCAGGATGCTTCCTGGTAGAAATTGAACTGTTAGTAACAGGGTTGTTTATAATGTCCCATTGCTTTGGAAAGGTTTTCCCTTTCTTGGGTGGTTGGCAAAACTACAACTGCTCCCCACATAAAATTATAATTGTAGTCCTCCACGTACAGCAGTTTGCTTGGTGACCATTCAAAGCTACAGCCACACTGAAAAAAGGTGACATGGCCTGTTTTTCACAGTTAATGACCTTTCTAGCATCCCATGATCATGAGATCAAAATTCAGGTGCTTGTCAACTGACTCATACTTACGACTGGGTTGCTGTGGGCCAAGATCACATGATCCCCTTTTGCGACCTTCTGAACAAGCGAAGTCAATGGAGAAGCCAAATTCATTTAACAGCTGTTACCAATTTATCAGCTGCAGTGATTCACTTAACTGAGGCAAGAAAGGGCGTAAAAGGGCGCAACATTCATTTAACAGTTGTCTCACTTAACAGAAATTTTGGACTCCATTGTGGTCATAACTCAAGGATTACCTGTAGTTTATTGCTACCAGATATATAGAGATATATATTTTAATTTTGGAAGTTTTTTTCCCTAACACTTTTCCTGCGTAAGAGAAAAAAAAAGGTTGTTTCTGTACAGGCTTTTATTGCATCTTAGTAAACATACATATCAGACCTGGCTAGGTTGAAGTGTGTTACAAGAATGCCTCCTGCTTTGCTATTATTTTTCAAGCCTTTTGTGAGGTTCTTGGAAGTGCATATGGGCAAGCTGTTGGTAGGGTTTTGTTTTTTTTTTCTACTTGGCAGTTTTCTCTGCCTAGCAGGGCAAGTGTAATTGTGGTTTGGAATAAAAGGATGTGATTATGTGTATTCCACTTAAAGGATCGACAGTCTGTCTTACTGCAGAATTAGTCTGAATAATTTGCTTCTTAATGCCTTATTTCTCAAACAGACTTGCTTGTACCAATTCTTGGGAAATTTCTGGTTTTAACTGGGTCTTTAAAGAAATGACATCCTTCAAGACTACACTTGATTAGTGTTAATTTTAAAATGTGAGAGGTTGATTTAGATGTTGTCATTTGTTATTTCTGGTGTTAGATTAGGGAAGATGAGGAAGAGCTCCTGACGTGTTAGCAAAAAAAAGAAAATAAAATTGTAAGTGATGACATTAGCAATGGGTGTCATTTAATGACATTTTATTTGCAAAAGTAGGCAAGGAAAAATTGCAGAAAACCATTATAATTACTGTACTTTGTCCAACCATGGGCAGTTAGTTGCATGTGAATTCTTTCTGGAATTCACAGTGCCAGCTTTGAGTCAAGTTGATTATCATAGGATATAGTATACCAGTCTAACCATACCCCCTTCTTGCAATTCTTCACTTTATGGGAATAATTTATGTAGCCACCTTGAATAGTCAGTTAATTAGAAAAGCAAGGTTTAAATCAAATTAGTTTTTAAAAATAGAGTGCTCAGGATATAAGTTATGTCAAGGCTGAAATCCTAAGTGCCTTTAAACAAGTCCTATCATAAGTATATTAAGGATTAAGCATGTTTACATGTGTCTTATATTCTAATTAAAAATAAGCAGCACTGCAACTTCTGAAAAATAGGAATTAAATGTGCTTTTAAAAATATTGGAGCCTAGACTGTTTTCTCTCGGGGACACTGGAATATTTTATAATATTATAAAAGATTATTTAGAGATATGTTGAGGCCATCTAGTTGGTGGCATATTTGTTTGAAAATGTAGGTGTCAAAATGTCCCCCCCCCCCACTTGCTTGTATTTTTCAAGTAGTCCACCAAATGGTTAGAAAGTAACAGTCAAAGGCCCACTCTGGAAATGTTTCCTATACCCCAGATATGTATGGAGTTGCATGGGAAGAAAACATTTTGCCAGAGTAACCAACTTATTTGAAACAAATATCCTCTTTTCTGCTTTCAGCATTAACTTTGTGTTTCTAAATGTATATATTTTATATATAGATATCGATGGAAGGTTTGATTTAATTTCTGATTTATCAAAAAACCTTATAGAAATGGAGACTTTAAATCAGCATTATAAGATCACTGGTTTAAACTTCTATTTTTTATTATGTTCTTAAATCTGATGATTACATGATTTTAAAAATCTAGAGTGGTTAACTAGAAATGTTCTATGATTTTTGCTAGCCTTACCATGGGTGTACAAGTATTATTTTGTTAACTAAGCAGGGAACATTTAAGAATTGGATAACAGTTGTTATCCAATTTTATTGGATAATAGTTGTTATCCAATGTTATCCAGCAAATAAAAGTATTTGTAAAGAATTTCAGCTTTATTGAATCAGTCAAACTATTTCCCACTTGATTCATGCAATTTACTTCAACTAAATGATTGGTAAATAAAAATAGCATACATTATGTTAATTAAATGTGTATTGTTGCAAGTGGACTAGTATTTCTTACACTCATTGATATGGAAGAATATGGTTAGAATTTTGTGAAGTTTCTGAGAAAGATAAAAATCTGAGACAGTTTCCCCATTATCCTTCTGGTAATTGGTATTTAACCCATATCTGAAGCTCTTTTTTCTTTTGGGGGGAGGGAAGTCAAGGACTGCTCAAATGTCTTTCTTCTTGATGATCAGAAACTGAAACTGCAGTTTGGCCATGTATCTTTGTATACCGTGACTATCAAGACTAACATATTTGAAATTGGTGTGAATCTATTAGAGTTCCTAGCAAAACAGTATAATACTGTTTCTTGGTTAACCATTCAAGTATTTTCTTCTTCTTATCTTAAAAAGATTCCCAACTTCCACTAGCTATATGTATTTCAGCTTTCTGAAATCATCTTCATGATAGTATTTCGAGAGAACAGCTAGATTGATAGATGACAAGTGAGCGGGAACACTAGTGATAGGCAATAAGATATAAATATATGTAAATGAGGAAAATGACTTTGGATTATAGCATAAACTGTTTCTCTAATAGATCGAGTATTAGTTCATTTGTGAGTCTGCCAGCAGTACAGCTGTTTAATCCTTGGACCTGACTTGTTACTTGCAGCGTGCCAAAGAGATTCCACCTCAAATATTGAAAGATATACATTGACTTCCGATTTCTTTTTGGATGCATGCGTTAGGGAAGGTTGAGACGAGGGTTGGAGAGAGTAAGGGAGTGTACAGGAGGCACTATGTAGATTGGGGAAGGTGCGTTGGCATCTGTGAGTGGTGCTATGCAGGTAGGAGAGGCGATGTGAGGATGTGTGCAGGCAGTGTTCAAGAGGCACTGTACAACTTTGGGGAAGAGGCTTGGAGATGCAGCATAGATTGAGGAGTGTATAAAGTGACCTGAGGGGTTGGGGGAGTGCATGAGTTGTGGGAGATGTACCCCAGCAAAATACAATCTTCTCTGCCACCTTCCCTTTTAGTTTCTAGGGATGCTAGCATGGAAGGTCGCAAATAACTAATGTGTGATCCTGGGGTGTTTAGCAAATGATTGTAAGTGTGAATGGGTTACTAAGCCTTTAAACTGCAATAATGTGACCACCAAGTGCTGGGATGAATGCCAAGACCAGTTATATCTTTCATTTAGTGCCATTATAACTTTGAACAGTCATTGGATGAAGATTGTAAGTTGAGGAATACCTATAGCTGCTTTGAGAAGAAGTATTTTGCTTGCAGCAATACCATTTAAGAAGTGCCCCTTTCTCAAACATTTTGCAGAACATTCAAAAACAGAAAATACTTCTGCTTCTGATAAAGTCTCAAGGTAATCCAGAGAGCAAGAGTTCTGGATTTGAACTGCCTCCTGTGGTCCTTTAAAGGAATTTAGGTCTTTAGAATTATCAGAGAAGCCATAAAGATTGAAAAAAGACCTGAAAGCTTGAATAGAAGAGATGATTCCACCAGACTGTCAATCATTTGGAAGCCTGCACTCACAAACAAAAAAATCTCCACACCACTAGCCAGGCAAACACCTGGGCACAGATAGATCCCCGCTGATACCTCCAGCTCAAACACACCCCAACCAGGCACCCAGATGAAACCTAGCTTCCTAACAAATGATAGCCGTCCATTAACCTGGAGCCAAGCTGCACTAAAAGCCTCCAATACAGGAACACAATGTTGCCAGCCAATCAAGACACACACAAAAAAGCCACAAAACAGACAGAAGATATTAAAAACACCAATCAAGCAGAACACAGCAAACTCCAAGACCAATAAACACAGACCAAGACTCCCAACCAATCAGGATGAAGAAAAAACCATTCTGGCACAGCAGTAGGCTA